AGAACCACCTTAAATTACCTCACACACAGCACTGGCATGCAATAGCAGTAGCAATAGCAATAGCAATAGCAATAGCAATAGCAATAGCAATAGCAATAGCAGTAGACTTATATACCGCTTCATAGGCCTTTCAGGCCTCTCTAAGCGGTTTACAGAGAGTCAGCATATTGCCCCCAACAATCTGGGTCCAAATGTTTGCACTGGAGATGCAGTTTGGGCTGCCTGACCTTTGACCTCACCTCTGCATTTCCTCCGTAGCCAAGTATATTTTGCTGGTCAAAGAACTCCAGAACCTGCCAGTACATCAACGCAATCACATGCTGCAAATGATGCCTCTAAGCTTGGCTGAGAAGCGCAGACTCAGGTGAGCGCCTTTAATCCTTGTTAGTGTTCGATTCATAAGCTGCTTTGGGAGGAGAGAATCTACCTCACTGCTCTCCCTCCCAAAAACAACTTTGGCCATATTTTAAGTTTATTCCCCCCCACCTCTCTCCCCCCCACCTCTTTTACAGACAGGATTCAAGTGGGCATTCAGGCACCTTGAGGAAACCCAAGCCAACGGGTCATTTGTCTTACTGCAGCTGGATTAAATACCACATCCTAATAGTAAGCTATGTTCCCCACTTGACTTTTATTGTGGCAGTTGAGAAATAAGTGGACTCAGTGTCTTTCTCACACTATGAGAAAGGAAACTTTCACTGGAGTCTTTCTGTGAAGTGTGTGACTATTCAAAGAGTTGGGAAAAATACTCTGGAAGGTTTTTTTTGTCAATTCTTGATATACTTATCAAGAAGGCATTAGCAAATTTTAAGAGGATCTTTCTAGGTCACTACATTGAATATGAAGCAGGGGGTTTGCTGTTTGCCTAATTCTGGTGAACAGGATGGGAAAAGTGGCTTTTGGTTCAAACCAGCTCAGGAAAATAGGCTAGAGCTTTTGAGAAAACAGGAAAGGAGGCTGCTGTGGTCTTCTTGCCATGAAACAAAAATTGCCAGGCAAATAGAAATAATTCCTACTTGGAGACATAGGATGTTTCTTCATTTCAGCAGAAGCTGCAAATCCTTCTGTTCAGCAACATTTTTATAACACAAAAAAGAGAAGAAGTATGGCACTCCTTTTAACATGAGTTTTACAATCTGAGTTCCTGGAAGACTTCTCTTTCCATATATTTTAATGCTTTTTGCTAATAGTGTCCTGGGCTTGAAAAACAGTCAATTAGCACACTTTTCCATTGTGCTAAATGTTGTTTCAAACATTTAATTTTTTTGCAGTACTCCTTCAAGTAAGTAATTACAATCCTTTTTTCTGCCCAATAAGACCGAGAGAGTTTCTCATAAATGAAGGCTAGGGAAAGATGTTTCTGATACATGTTGGACGCTACTATTATTTTCTGTCAAATAAAAGGGATTGGATAGTTACTCCAAAGTCATCGTCCTGTTATGTTTTCATCTGAAGCTGTGTCCATTTTTCTTGCAGGGCTTCCGGAATTTTTGGTACAATCTGCTGTCCTTCATTCCTATTCTCCAGCCCTGGCATTATTCCCTCAAGGAGATCAGTGGCCGCTTTGGCTCTAGCATCCTCTCCTATTTCCTATTCCTCAAGACGTTGCTCTTCTTCAATCTCTTTATGTTCCTGATCCTGCTGGTCTTTGTAGTTGTCGTGCAGGCTGCTTTCCCTTCTGCCATACCCAACAGTGTGGCTTTCACAGGATCTGATCTCTTAACTGGAGCAGTGAGTATTCCTGAAATCTGATAGCTTTCCCTTTACTAATAGAATTACTTAACAGAGTGTATCACCAGCAGTTTTGAGTACTTGTAGTGACATATTTCCCTCTAATCCGTTCAGTTGCACAGTAGAAATGTTTGCTTAGCCCTTAGAAATTTAAAAATCCAGATAAAACCTGACTCCTGCACTATGAGATAGAATGGAAAAAATATAAGCTATTGGTGTCTATCAATTTTGCCTTGGCTTTCAGTCCATAACCTTCTACCAGACCAGAGTCAAACTTTTGCTTACCAATCTAACAGATTAGATTGCCATAGTAAACTACACACCTATTGAGTCTGTAGCAACGTGTCTGGATGGTTGATAGATGCATGTTCATTATCAGTGCTTCTACTTGTAGTCTATACTCCGGTAACCTGAACTTGTTCCAGAAATAAAAGAATACAGGTAATCCCCGGTTAAGAATGTCCCCATAGTGAATGTTCGAAGTTACATGATAAGCGCCCCCTAGTGTTTATGAAAAAGTCCCAAAACTACGAATCTTGCAGCACAATGGCAGTTGTTCGCCTTTACAAACAACCGCAGAGGCTCTGCAACATTCATCCTGCACATTGCAGGTCGAAATGGAGATCCAGAAGGGCAGATCCGACGCTCCGTTCAGGCCTCCAAATCCGACTCTCCAAAGCTGCATTTGGCAACATGCTAGGTAAGACCTGCAGAGGCCGAAATGGAGCATCAAAGCTCCATTTTGGCCTGCAATGTGCTGGGGAAGGCCTCTGGAGGCCCAAATGGAGTGGCGGATCTGCCCCTCCGGAGTTCCATTTCAGCCTGCAATGTACCGGGCAAGATCTGCGCAGGCTTAAACGGAGCTGCAGAAGGGAGCATGCAGCCGAGAGGCTGGAGAGGAGGCTGCTTGCTAGATCTTCGTATGGTAAGTGACCCAGCGCGACAGGTTGTGAGGAGCATGAGGTATTTCAATGGGTCGGGGAGTCCTTGGGTGGTGACCTGTTCCATCACATGGCCGTCCTCTCCACCGTGAAATACCTCATGTGCACTTAACGAACCATGCATTCTATTAGCAAATGTATGGGCGAAAGGAGGGAGTGATCCAGTTGAAGGTATGAGATTCACTCCCACAAATCCTCGGGTTAGGAATGGAATGTGCAGGCTCCATTACAGTCATAAGTCAAGGACTACCTGTAATGTTTGGAATAGCCCAAAGGGTATAGGTTACTTCTGTGTGATTTTGGTGTCAGTATAAGACCATTTCCATGAATAATCTGTGGCTGTAATTTTAATACAGAGTGAAATATTTCAGTATGGTTACAGCCAGGGCCATCTTCTTCAGGAAAGGATAACCCTCCACAGGATCCAAAGGATTGACAATATTGTATTTTCTTCACAGGGTTACTTCAGTCACACAGTGATGTATTATGGCTACTACAGTAATTTCACACTGAATGCCCCTGATGCTTCTGAGGCTAATAGCACCCATTACAGGCAACACACTCATAGCCAGATGTCCTACAATATGCCTCTGGCTTACCTCTTTGTTACTGGAAGCGCCTTCTTTGGGATCTGCTTTCTCTTGATCTACAGGTGAGATGCCACCTAGCTTCCCTTTGCATAAGAGCCCAGTTAATCCTTTCTTTTCTGCCTGGGATAAGACCAGTCTTCCTAAATGCATTTAATGTGCATTTGCATCCCTTTCAGGTAGGATTTAAATAAACGTTATTTTTATACGTTATCCCAAGTGGTTTCCTCCTACCCATCAATATTTATTTTTCTTGACTGGGATTCTCAGCACCAGGGAGAGGAAGCTCTGCTGCTCACCTAAACTTTTGTATTTCGAGAGTCCTGAACATCTGGAATAAGAGCAAAGGATTGTGGGACATCTTAGTGGAATCAAACTAATATCACTACATATAGGATTGCAAGAAAACAAAAGAAATGGTTACTCATAAATTAGCCTCACTGAACTTGTGAGGGGATCTTATTTCTGCAACATAGGATTATATTGCAAATCTTGTGTAATTTACAATTAAATTATTTGAACATAAATATTGTACTTCGGCCACCTAATGAGAAGGAAGGACTCACTGGAGAAGAGCCTAATGCTGGGAAAGATTGAGGGCAAAAGAAGAAGGGGACGACAGAGAATGAGATGGCTGCATGGAATCACTGAAGCAGTAGGCGTGAGCTTAAATGGACTCCAGGGGATGGTAGAGGACAGGAAGGCCTGGAGGAACGTTGTCCATGGGGTCGTGATGGGTTGGACATGACTCCGCAACTAACAACAACAAAATTGTAAATTGTTCCAAAACAATTTCAAACTTCTTAATATGATCATTTAAAAAGGGGGTTTAAATAATTAAATAACTTGATATTCATCATTTTCAAAATGCCATCCCCCCCCCAAGAAATTGTTTGATATCAAATATTCTAACGCAAGGATGTCAAACTCAAGGCCCCAGGGGGTGCTTAGATCTGGCCCACGGAGCTGCCCTGGAGACAGTAAAGGACTGGCCCACGGTGCTCTGCCAGTGAAAGCTCAGGCGGGTCGTTCCAAGCTCCATTTTTGCTAGTAGAGGGTTGCAGTAGGCCATCACAGCTGAAAATGGAGCTCAGGAGCCTGTTTTCTCTGGCAGAGCGTTCAGGCTGCCCCAGGCGCCCCCAACATGAGTGACGTCGAGCTGGCCATGCCTATCCTGACCACACCCACTCTGACCCCCAAGGTCAAACACAACCGTGATGCGCCCCTCAATGAAATTGAGTTATTAATAGGAGTAACATTATTCCCATTATAGCTTTCCCAGTGTTCTTAACAACCTTCCTTCAGGCACTTTACTCAAATTTATAATATTAAGCTTATCTATAATCTTACATACCTGCCTATGAAATACAGTCAAATTTGCTTGTAGCCCTGCCAATCTTTCAACCACACAGTTAATTCCATGCTTGCAGCTAACAGAGTGACCACAGAGGCTCTTCCTTGGAGAACAGTTTAAAACGGTTGCTTGTCTAACCAGCAGATACCGATGCCTTTTTTTCCCCCTCCTCACAGTGTGTCTCACTCATTTGGGGAGAGTTACCGTGTAGGCAGTGCATCAAGTAACCTGGCAGTCAAAGTCTTCTGTTCCTGGGATTACAAAGTGATTCAGAAACGCTCGGTCCAACTCCAAAGTGAAAACATTAGCACAGATCTGAAGGTAAGTGCTGAACAGAGCTGTGTAGTTTGTGAAAATGCAAGAACTAAACCAACTGGGAAATCTCCAGTGTTAGTGAAATGGAGAATAGAAATGAGATGTCACAGGGTTATTTGAGAGTGCATTTGAAAGAAATGGTGCAGCCCAGTGGTGAGATTCAAAAATGTCTACTACCGGTTCTGTGGGCGTGGCTTGGTGGGCGTGGCAGGGGAAGGATACTGTAAAATCTCCATTCCCTTCCCACTCTAGGGGAAGGTTACTGCAAAATCCCCATTTCCTCCTGATCAGCTGGGACTTGGGAGGCAGAGAATAGATGGGGGTGGGGCCAGTAAGAGGTGGTATTTACCGGTTCTCTGAACTAATCAAAATTTCCGCTACCAGTTCTCCAGAACTGGTCAGAACCTGCTGAATACCACCTCTGCTGCAGCCTTTTAATGCTGAATACACCCAAATCTTCATTTTCACTAATGTTTCTGCAAGTAGGTTACCAGCAGCTGTGAATTCTGACTGACATCTTGCCTGTTACTACAGCCCTAGTGTGCAAAAGAAGGGGAATAATCCCAACTTTCCATTATATCCTTTGGTTGAATGCTTATAGTGTTTCAAATTATGTGAATGTTTGAGATATTTTCTTCTTTCCCTTATGGCTAACTACCTCCACTATGCTAGTACCATCCCATGTGGTGCCTAAAATATTCATTGCCCCTCATGATACAGAACATTTTACTGAATAAGAATCAAACCTACTGCCTTAAACCTATGATGTTCCCTGTCTCAACTAGTTCATACCGTGTTTCCCTGAAAATAAGACAGGGTCTTATTTTCTTTTGACCCCCGAAATAAGTGCTTGGCCTTATTTTCAGGGAGATCTTCTTATTTTTGAGGTGCAGGTGGTGGAGACCGTAATCACCTCATGGCTGCTGCTGTATTACAATATTTTCAGAGATGGCTTATTTTGGGTGGAGGGCTTATTTTAGCCAATGCACTCAAAAGCCCAATTGGGCTTATTATTCAGGGAGGTCTTGTTTTCAGAGAAAGAGGGTACTACAATGAGGGCAAAGGGATTCTATCTGTAAGAAATAAATGTGTGTGGTGCATTTTACAGGGGGGACAAGAGAAAAACGCAGCGGCTTGTATATATCAGTGTGTCTCTTTATATTAAGACTAGGTTGAGTTAGCAATTTGCAGCTTTTGGCCTCTGCAAGTCCTTTGGCAAGGAGCTATCTGCCCCTTCCTTGGCAGGTTGAGTGGGGGAGAAGGGATGCAACTTCTAATTATAGGTCACTGATGAGCTTATACTCCATGGAAATTTGAGTAACGATAAAAAATTCCCGTCCTATCAGTTTAGCAACAGGAGAGAGGACTTGGACACAGAGTAGGAAACCTGGCTTATTCATACTCAGTGGCAAAGCCTTCTCACAGTCGTAGTACTGATCATTCATAGAGAGATGTAGATTGCATCCAAGATAAGATATTAGGTTCCCTGGAGGTTTCAATATAATTCGCCTGAAGCTTGTCTTTTCCTGTAATTGCCTATCTTTGTTTATATCACATACCCACTTAAAGCCCACAGTTCACTTTTGAGGCTCTAGTCCTTCTCCAGAGATTTCCTTTCCGAAAAATCAGTGCTGACGTCTCATTCATTGAGAATCTACTTATGTGTAAGACATAACTGTACTGACACTTTCATTATTGAGTCCTTCTTTCCCTCTCCTTTTCTCTCTCTCCCTCCTCTCTCTTTCCTTCATCTCTCTCCTTCCTTCTCTATCACTTCTCTCTCTCTCTCTCTCTCCTTCTCTCTTTCTCTCTCTCTCTCCCTCCCTCTCCTCTCTCTCTCCCTCCCGCCTTCCCTCCCTCCCACTCTCTCTCTCTTTTCCTCTCTCTCTCTACAATAGCCTAGGTTTTTGGGGCTGCTGGGGGGGATTTCTCCACCTCTCCCTCCTTCATGCATTGAAGCCTGGCTAAATCCAACTCAACGTCTGCCGCGTGTTCATACCAAGCAGTTACATGGCGGGGAAGGCGTCTGTTTATGCACTGTTGGTATATTTTTTCATTCAATCCCTCAGCAAACTGATCCAGCAAAGCCTCTTCTGACCACCCCCTCATAAAAGCTGACAACTCTTGAAATTCCTGGACATAATCTGGCACAGATTTGTTTCCCTGCTTCAGAGCCATAAATTTCAGGCGCCCATGTCTCTTGGTCAAAGGGTCATCAAACCTCCTTCTCATGGCTGCCATAAAGTCATTAAAATTCCTCAGGAGAGGGGAATTGCATTTGTGTAGGCCAACCATCCATTCCTTCCTTCCTTCCTTCCTTC